CCTCAGAGATCAAACATCTTCTCGCCTACCTTTCTTAGTGCCTCCCACATCACACACTGCTGCACCTGGGACAGGTGAGCCCGCCGCGGTGTCCCCCAGCAGAGCAGAGGAGTCGGCTTCTCCCCGTCTGCGGTCATTTATTTTGTACCGTCCTCTCATATCGTAAACAGACAAAGCTAACGACACACGGCTTCCACCACTGAAGCACTGACACCTGACAGCTCCCGTAACTGGAACCTGAGCCTCGACCGGCTGCACGGCTGAGGACTCACCTGTTTGTTTGCCCACTGGCAGCTCAAAGACGATCCCGCCTGCTGCTCGACGCCCACGCCCAGCAGCGTGAATGTCACGCAGTGTTTGCAGAGCAGGCCTCTATACCTACACTGCGTCCTGAGAGAAACGGCTTACAGGACCCACGATGTTAATGTAACTGTAAATCACTTGCTCTGATTTCACATAGAAAGAATATGAAATCACTCAAGTACACCATTTACTCTCACCGGTTACATAACTTACTTGAATATGAGAAAAGAAGACTAGAGAACTATGCTTTTACATAAATATCATATTATTGCAATGTACTTATAGAAATGTGTATTAAGTGATGGGGAGATTCTCACAGTGAAGCACTGAAATAAATTATATGGTGATTTGCCATTTCAGCTCGTAAGTGATCAGAAGCTTTAGTTATACACAGAGACTGACAATGTTAGTTCAGGGCTGAAGTTAACAAACCAAATGCACAACATCCAGTAAGACCTGCTCGAACATGACTGCTGATGAAGACTCTGCCCGAGGCAGACATTCCCATTGAAAAAGATCTTTTCAACGGGAATGTCTGGTGTGTATGCTGAAAGCAGATTTGAAAAGCAAAATAGAATAAAGCAGACACGGTACAGGTACAGGTGAGGCTACTGACATCCGTACCCCCCAAACCAAAACAGCAACAAACACATGGTTCATAAGTTGTATAACGTGCGTTTCAGCTACACAGGTAACCATCTGGGGCCAACAGGGGCGCCTGCAGAATTTCTTTTATAGGGGTGGCCTTATGGTTGATTATTTTGCTGACTGGAAGTCCCAAACAGCTTTAATGATTCCCAGCAGAGCTAAGCAGAAGCAGCTCCCCCAGCATGGAGACAAATGAGTAAAAGTTCAAATAAGTTTAAAACAAGTATGTGTTGCTGTGTGAAATACTTGTAATACTTGTGTCACATGTGGATAGGGCACTGTGGTGGGGTGTGGCCTGCGGTGCCGTGCAGGGAGGGCGGACGCACCTGCACGGCATCCTTAATCACATCCGCCAAGTTAAAAACACGAGGACTAGGGGTTGCGGGGTTGTGGTGTGAGGTGATGTAAATAAAATGGCTCAAAACACTGATCCCTGGACCCGCCGTGCCTTATTCACGCCACAGGCACTATCGGCTGTGGCACTGAAAGTTAGGAGGCAGCATAATTAAAGAAATTTAAGTGACTTTAACTTTAATGTACAGAAAATATATCAGGAATATTAGAGCCAAGCCCTATCTGTATAAATAGCTTGTGTTTATTCTGTAGGGCAAATTTTAACTAACTGTCAGAAAGCAAATAACCAGCATGTTATGTGTATGAATCATCAGTATTTTCTGAAAGATCAGCTCAGATTTTTATATTAAATTTATGCCTGGAATTTCCATGTGATCTGTATTCAGGTTTATTGTTTACACCTCTCATTGAAATCTTGTCATGTAAACTCTCACACCAATCCCATCTCAATGGAGAAACTGGTGACACGTGTGACATTCCAGGACAGGGGTCAGCAACCCTGGGCACA